ATGAATGTTTTTGTGGAATTTCATACGTTATTAAAGACCCAGTAACTAAAACATCATGTGGGGTACATAAATGTCATTTGGTAGTAATATTTGTTCATATATTTACAATGTGGGGTAACTAAATGTTATTTTTTGTTTTACAAATTTATTTTGTTAAACTTCAGACCTTCAGATTTTCTTGAATGAATTATTCATTATTAATTAAAATGTAATTATTTCTATCTTATTCAACGTTTAAAGATCCAACCGTATATTACGGCTTGCACGAGCTACAGCAGGAAATTTCCAGAAATCAAGTTTTAAATCCAAGGTTGTTGTCCTTCTCAAGTGATCGGGTAAGTAAACAGAATTTGTAGCATTGGTTGCTTTTAGAAACTAAAAATATTTCTCTTTCATAGATGATCGATTTGCAAAAACTAACTTCATGAGCAAAAAACGTATCCAGTGTTCTGAAGGTTTTTACACCTGCTTCTGTGATGTTTTTCCGTTAATATCCCGTTAGTTTGCACGTGCCTGTCTCATTTTTACAGAATATACACAGCACGTTTACTTTCATGTATTTAGTTGGTGAATCACAGTTGAATATTTTAGTATTATTTACCTGAAAAACGACATAACATTTTAAACTGAGAGCTACATTTTTTTATCACTTTCATTGAATTTTTTGTTTAAAAGTTTCATTTTTACTTTAGTTGAAGGAAAACGCCGAATACGTCGTTCTGTTGACAGCTCGGAACCGCCTAGGGGCACAGACTTACATTCCTACGGTACACACAGTTCGTCGTACCTCCAAATCCCTAGCTCTAACACTCGTGGGTCCTACACTTGTTAACCCTCATAGTGACGTCACCTTTACTGTACTGATTGACGTCTGCGCAAGTGTAAATCTGACATCATCGAAACTTCAAGTAAGCCATAGAGTCGTTTTACAACAATTTCAAGTGATTTTGAAAGAAAAAATATTAAGTTCTTCAGATAATTGTAAAAATAGATCTTAAGATTTTTGATAAGATTATAATAATTGTGAAAGCAAAGCCATTAATGTCGTGTGACGCTCATCCTGGGTTTGTATTTAATCAACCATCAATAGCCTCCAGTGGCATGTCTGCGGACTTACAACACTAGAAACCGGGTTTCGATACCCGTGGTGGGCAGAGCACAGATAACCCATTGTGTAGCTTTATGCTTAATTACAAATAAGCAAAAATCATCAATACAAGATTTACAGGAGTGACATTCAAATTCTACTAGCTGATTATAGAAGCCCAAGAGTTGGCGGTGGGTGCTTTTGACTAACCTTCCTTGTAATCTATTGACTTAAAATTAGAAATTACTAGTGCCAGTCGTTCTGGTGTCATAAGTAACAACTACAAGAACATAATTTTAAAAATATGCGTATAACCCTTACTCAACATTTTTGTAGTGGACTCCAAATTATTTTGTTCATAAAAACTTTTTAAAATATATTATTATACTCAGACGCTGCCACTGAATTACCACAGTAGAAGGAATCATAGTAGTGTTACGACAGCGGAGGTCACGTGACGCTAGTAACACGTCATATTCTCGAAGCTTCGTGAATCCTCGGGAGGTTACTAGATTTCGGTATTCTTTCATATATAAGACGGTCAAGACGTGACGGCAACAATGTAATGTGTAATTGAACTGCGGACAGAGAGAGACGTATTGTTGAGCACGTGAGACGTTCGTTGTGAATTATAGCGTTTGTTATAGCGTGACTGTGGAAATTAAGTGTAGTGCAAAGTTGTATTTAGAGAGAATAAACCAGTTTTATTTAAGAAAGGACTTGTATCGCTAAAGTTTCTTCAGAAAGAAATTATACGAAAAATTAACTAGCGATCGGAGGCATAACAGTATTATTAAAAATGTTAAAAGTATTAGCTTTGCTCGACTGGTCAAAAACTCTGCCTCCCCTTCCTTCAGCGAGCTTTGTTCACCAAAAACCCCTTTATAGTAAAATAAAAACAATCACACACTGAGAAAATAAAAACAATTTTCATGTACATTTTCAAAAAATCTAAAAAATGGTGCAATTTAATTTAAATTAACTGCTAATATGACTGTTACACATAAACACACAAATAAATTGACACGTGGTTTTTTAACATAGTGTTAGACAGCGGAAGTCTTGTGACGCTGGTAACACGTAATGAGTTCTAGAAAGAACGGGAAACATCACGAATAATCCAGTATTTGCTAGGCGCCCTCCATTCTTGTATATAAGTGCGCCAGATAAAGCGAAATTATTAATCGGAATTAGAATTGCAAACAGGCAGAGACACAGACGTACAATTGAGTCAAGTAAAGTACGTGAATCGTGGTTAATTATAGCGTGAGTTTAAGTTAAAGTGACTGTGGAAATTAAGTGTATTGCAAAGTTGAATTGAGAAAGAATAAACTAGTTTTATTTAAGAAAGGACTTGCATCGCTGAAATTCTTCAGAAAGAATCTCTACAGAAAATAAACAAACGACCAGAGACGTAACAAATTGGTGTGAGGAGTGGGATTGAAAAAAAGAAAAGAAAAAGAAGATGAAAACGAGAAGTGGCAAATCAAACTACAGCTTAGCAGATTTGATGGCAGCAATACAAGAACAGCAAAAGAAACAAGAAGAACGAGGAAAGAAACAAAAAGAACGCGAAAAGAGACAAGTAGAGAGATTACAGCAGTTGTTGGAGGAAAAAGAAAAGAAACAAGAAGAACGAGAAAAGAAACAAGAAGAGAAATTACAGCAGTGGTTGGAGGAGAAAGAAAATAAACAAGATAAGAGATTACAGCAATGGCAACTGGAACAAGAAAGGAAAATCTCCAACAACTGAGAAAAAGCCAGAGTACACAAATGCAAAACATTAGTAAATTTCAAAGCTAATTAAATACATTAAAGGATGATTTATTGTCTTTTACACAAGAAAGATACATTAATCATCGATTTAATCAGCCCCAGACAACGGCAAGACCGTT